GCTTGTGCAGCATGCAGCCAGCACCCGAATGTCCAATGCGGAGGCAGGCCCTTTGCTATATGGAAATGGCCTGCCTGCGTTCTGTCCCAGGCTGCGCTGGGCCTTTCCGAAGAAGCTTCCGGTAGGCCCCGGTAGACTGAGGCCCAGACCAAACGAATTGGCCCAGGGCTGCTGACAGTTACCTGTGCCCAACTGCCTGCAACCTGAGTTGGGCCTATGCTGCGAATCTCGCCCAGGGCCTGACTCAGATGCATTTGATAGAGGAAGTTAGGGCCTGGGCGCTTCCAACCAACTGGCGCAGCGCAACTGCCTGAATTTTCCCCAGTTGCAAAGTAGTCCAAAATAGGCCTCTGAGGGTCTGTCGGGCCTGCCTTCACTTAGGGCGGCCGACGCTTTTGCAAATAGGGCCCAGTGGGGCTTATCGAGGCCTTGTGCCTCACATTCCCTCCTCCATACTTCGCTAGTCTTCTTTTTAGTTCAGTCTTCGATAATCGGGCGCTTTCCTTTCCGTAAAGACTTCTCATAGTGGACAACTACCTGTGGAGCGGTCTGCATCACTTCCTCCCTTGTGAACCATCTGTCCTCCTTTGGATCAGTGTGATGTCTGAACCGAACTCGATACTGCAGCTTCGGTTTCCGAGGACGTCCTCTGCCTGTTAGTCTTGGAACTGGCATCTCCCGGTGGTCAACAATATCATCGACCTCTCCATCCATGGTTGGGGGCAGCATTGAGGGACAAGATGGAAACTGATCTGTTTCTTTAAAAGGTGCAAGCTTTGAGGCGTGGAAAACTGGGTAAGTGCGTAAGTGACCAGGAATGCGAACAACATAAGACGGCCCATCTGGTTCATTCCCAACAACATCCAGAATCTCCCATGGTCCAAAGTACTTTGGCATGAGCTTGCGGGAGATCCTGTGCTCCTGTCCCAGTTCTGAGGACTTGACCCAGACTCTCTCTCCTACCTGAAACGTGGATGGGTGGCAGTGTTTGTTCTCAGACTCTATCATCGCCGCATGTGTTTTGTGCATCTGCTCAACAGCCTGCTGCATCAGCTGCTCATATCGATAAGCAAACTCTAAAGTCCCAGGTGCAGCAGGGAGCTGGTTTTCAGGTAGTAAGAAATCCAAGGGCAGTCTAGGCTTAAAGGTTAATAGCAGACTATTCGGGCTCACGCCCGTTGCGCTGTGGACCGCGTTGTTGTACAGGCTGGCAATGAGAGCAAGTTTCTCATCCCAGTCTACCTGATTTGGCTTGATGTAATGCCTCAGCAGGTGTTGTACAGCGCGGTTCAACTGTTCTGCTTGTCCATTCGCCTCGGGATGGTTTCCTGATGTCATCTGCAGTTGCGTTCCCTGTTCTACAGCTGCGGCTTTCCACAGTTCACTTGTGAATCGCACATCACGGTGACTGACTATAGACTTTGGCAATCCGAAATCTCTAACCCAATTCTCTTTGAACAGCTTAATTACATGCTCAGTCTTCGTTGTCTCAGGCATTGCAACTAACCTAGCGTACTTACTAAACCTATCCACGATAACAAAGATGTGTCTCATTCCGCTCTTGCTGGTTACCGGCGTGTCCATGAAGTCCATGGATAGGCTCTCACCAGGCCTTTCCGGAATCAGAAGGGGCTTGAGGAGTCCAAGAGGGGCCTGTGTACGGGGCTTGTCTCTCTGACAGACCTAGCAAGTATCCACGTACACCTTAGCATCTCTCATCATCGTGGGCCACCAGAACCGCTGTAACAAATTGGCTGCAGTCTTCTTGAAACCAAAACGGTCGGTGGTGTCATGACATTCTCCTAAAAATAAACTACGCAAAGACTCTCTATTTGGGACACACAAACGTTTATTCCCTTCCTTCTCAAGGAACAACAAGTCGTTGATCAACTCAAACTCGGCAGAAGTCTTCTTATCCTCCGCCTCAAGTCTGTGTATGATCTCAGACATGAACTGGTCCTCGCGATAGGCTTCCACCAAAGAACGAGTAACATCATCTGTAAGGTCGAACTCAGTAATCAGCGCACCTGAGAAATCAGGTCTACGCGACAAGGCATCAGCAACCTTGTTGTACTCCCCTTTCAGATATTGCGGGTCGAAGTCATACTGCTCAATGACTTCGATCCAACGCTTCAGAGCGTCAAAGAGCACCGGTTGGGTTCTCATCCACCTCAAGGTCTGATGATCAGTTCTGAGGATGAAGAACCTCCCAAGGAGATAGTGCCTACAATGGGTCAGAACCTCCCAAGGAGATAGTGCCTCCAATGGGTCAGAGCCTTGTAAACCGCATAGAGTTCCTTCTCATAGGTGGAATTGGCCAACTTTTGAGATGGCATCTTCTTAGACATGTACTTGACAGGCCTTAACTTTTTCCCCTCCAATGTCATATTGAGTGGCATCTGTGGTTACTACAAACGGTTTATCAGGATCAGGAAGTTTCAAGACCTCGTAGTGCGTCAACGCATGCTTCAGATGTCTGAAAGCAGCCTCGCACTCGTCTGTCCACTCTCATGGGGTGTCAAGACAAGTCAGATCAGTCAAAGGGCAGCCACTATACTATAATTCTTCACGAAAGTCCTATAGTAGCCTGTCATCCCTAAGAAAGATCTCATCTCAGTCATAGACTGAGGACATGGCCAATCACGAACGTTGGCCACCTTCGCGTCATCGGGCTTCAATCCCTCCGTGGAAATCTCATGACCCAAGTACAAGACACGGGTGCGGCCAAACTCGCACTTCTCACCGTTGATATTGAACTTGTGCTGTCGCAGAAGACTAAGGACTTTGTCCAAGTGCGCAACGTGCTCCTCGACGGTCTTACTAAAAATAAGTATGTCATTGAGGTACACGATGACAAACTTATCCAAGTAGTCATGAAATATCCGATTCATAGCGTGCTGAAAGGTGCCAGGAGCATTGCAAAGGCCAAAAGGCAACACCACAAACTTGTAAAGACCATACCTGGTCTAAAATGCGGTTTTGTGTTGATCCTCAGGCCGGATTGCAATCTGATGGTACCCGAATTTCAGATCTATCTTAACACCCTTGCACTCTAGGAAATCATCGATGCGCGGTAGGGGCTCTCTGTTCTTTACTGTGATGGCATTGAGGCCCATATAGTCAATGCACATCCTAAGTGTTCCTTCCTTTTTCTTTGGTACAAATAAGACTGGTGAACCATAAGGAGAAACACTCGGCTGAATCCATCCCTTTTCTACGAGTTCCTTGAGTTGTCGGCGAAGCTCGTCAAGCTCGCCTGGAGACATCCGATAGATCCTACCCTTTGGGATGCTAGACCCTGGGATAATCTCTATCTCGTGGACGACCTCCCTCAACAACCCCTGTCGGATCTTCAAATAGATCAGGGTACTTAGCAACTACTCCCTCTATCTCCGGCGGCATTTTCACCGGCTCGCCTACAACAGAGACATAAACTAGATACATACCCTCCTCCTGATTTTGCTTATAGTAATTATAGAACGCGGCCGCACACATGCATCCGTGTGACTCGATCAGACTACTAGTTTTGAACATACGTAATCTGGCGGTCCCCCCACCTGGCGAAGTGTGTTTGACCACTTTTCGGTCCCAGTCAAACTGGGGTTGTGCCACAGAGAGGTAGTACATACCTAACAACATATCCATGGGGAGTTCATCACTCACTAGGAACGAGACGCGATGTCTCAGTTCCCCTCCCGCATACGGGAAACAACACTTAACATCTTGGAGGCAGTCATTGACTACCATGCGCTGATTGTTGGCACAAGTCGACTCCACAGGTTGACTCAGGCGCTGCACTTGCCCTTGTAAGCGTAGCCTCTCAACGCATGCGCGACTAATGAAGTTCCGTGTCGAGCAAGTGTCATAATAAGCCCCGGCCTTGCGGCCGCCGATGAATACCTCGCTGACGAACATCTCACCCTTGGGAGCTTTGACTAGTGTCGTCCAAGAAGCTAGTGGGTCTGACCTAGACCACTCCTCCTCTAGCTCCTCTAAGGACTCAAACACATTCATCGAACAGAGGGTCGATGGGTCTGAATGTGTTTGCGGGACGACGGTGGAGTCAGTAGCTTGGGCCATTTCTCGAGATGGTGAGGGCGTGTCCACCACCTCGACCCTTGCAGGAACAATTCCTATTGGCCCGACGTGTTTCCCGGAGCAGTGCCTGAAGTGCTGGCAACATTGCTACCAACGAAGCGGAGGATCCTACCGCTTGCCCCATCATAGGTGGGAACTTCTCAGTCACCTTCTTGTTTCGGCACTTGAATTGGTTATGGCCATATTGGCCACAACGGATACAAGTCTGCCGTGTGTACCGACCTCTCCACACATCCTCAGTGAGACCCGCTTTCTCCCATGAAGAAGCATTGGGGTCAACTTGACTCCTTGACCGGGAACCTYCACGGCGTCTACCGGTCGCCTTACCTTTTTGTGCTACGGCAGCGACTACTCCACCCCCTGAAGCTTCTAGGCTGCCTGCCTCTGAACCTACTCCCTCCTGGAAGTTGTCGTCTAACTCGATGGTTGAACCATCGTTATCGACAAACATAATGCGACCCTTCGCTTTCCAGTTGGGAGGCAGTGYTTTCTTCCTACCATCCGTTCTGGGATTATGTCCATGCCCTATCTTTGCCTCAAGGTCTAAGGCCTTCTTGCTGAATGAAGGAAAGTTGTGCACATTGATGTTGGCCTCACCTGCCAACTGGTTCCTGAGGGGCATAGGAAAGCATCTCARGTATCAGGTGAGTAAGACATGAGGGTCATAGCGCACCCCAGGGACTCAGATCAGACGCTCTATAGTGTCAGTGGCCTCCCTAACTTACTTGAACTGCCTCGTGTGCAGTGTGAGGATCGCGTCAGTGGCTTTTTGGGCCTCTTGAGGATCATGCCTCCTGTCTTCCACCATCTTTAAGAAGTCCTTCAGTTTCTGGTGGGCTGCCCAAGCGCGGAAATCGTGACCGTACCTTGTAACTGCACTAAACCACTCAACCATCTTGCTGCACTTCCCTCTAGGTAGGATGCAGCCACAAGCACTTCCTCATGCGGCAAGGTAAGTTTACACTTGACATAGACCGACACTGCCCTCAGCCAAGTGTCGAGGTCTTCGCCCCTCTTATCCCCTGTGAAGGGTTTCGGAGCGACGATTGCCGTCTTTGGTACCCACTAACTTTGTCACGGTATCTGCACCAATCCAGACTGTGGACCCTGTGGCGCAGGCTGCTGCACTAACTGCAGGGGTTGTGTACCCTGCGGCTGTACAGACCGCGAGACAGCAGCTTGCGTTGTAACTGAAATCTGGAACGGAGGCTGGGAATACACTGTCTGTACAGGAACCTGCAAACTAGGACCTGCTGAGAACCCGCCTGTCAAGGGCATACCCAGGGAAACGGGCTGGACCGATGCTGGAGCTGTATATGGGGATACCCCAGTCACCGGTGGGACAAAAGGAGGAGGTTGTGCAACGGGCCAGGCACCTGGCCCGGACGGCGATGGCGCAACCTGCGCTCATCCGACCAATACGGCCAGACTCTGCTGAATGTCCTGAAGGAGAGCCATCTGGTGGTCTTGCATTTCAACTACATCTAGCAGGACGGACCGTATGGTCCTCACATCATCAGTCATGTGCGTCAGGTCCATATCCTTTAACTCACTAACGTCCGCTTGCCTCCGCTATATCCTGGCTCTTCTTCTAATCATTTTCTCTTTCTCTGCCTTAATTTCTCCTAACGCCTGTTGTAGTTGTGCCTCGCGAATCGCTGCTCGCTGTATGGCAACCTCCTCGGGGGTCAACACTATTGGCTGGCTTGCCACAACGCCAGTGGATTGACTCACAGTCTGCGCGACCGTTGACCCGACAGAACCTGAACTACTAGCCTGAGAAGTTTGCTGCGCGGCAGTGGCCATGGGTGCTCAAGTAGCGGCCTCGCTTGCGAATGCCCTGCTTTCCTCTGTGGCCCTAGCTCTTCTCTGCTGCTGCAGCCTTTCTCTCCGTTGGCGGAACAAGTATCTGTCGCCCTCTGGTCCTAATTCCAAATGGGCAATTGGGTGTCTGGCCGATCGCAAGATCTGGTTGTCCTCTCTAGTGTCCTCCCTCTCGCTCATGAGCTACAACACTATACACAGACTGCACTAAAACACTCCAGATGCCTACCGCAGCATAATGTAAAGACCAATTTAAAATAAAATAAATAAATAATTGGTGGCTATGTTAGAGACTATCAATTCGGGTTCAACAGGTAAGTTCAAATTCCTACATACGCAAACAGAAAGCACAAGGAACAGAAAACAGTTCTAACTAATGTTGTCTGTCAGATGTGAATGGTTGTACATCTAACTAATCAAAATAAAAATAGAATCGTTTGTTTGGTCTGTTCACAGCATGGGATCTTACTCAAACTTATCACCTGGAGTCTACCCCTTCCCCAATTCCCCTTGATTGTCACTTGACATCAGCTTCCCTGAGCAATCCGGTTTGGCGTGCGTGACTAAAGGTGTGCACACGGCCCATCTGTGCCCCGAGTAGCTGCTGAGCTGGCTAGCCCTGCACTATGTTTATCCTCGCGTGCAGCGAGCCTTACACCAATTGGCTGATCCAGAGGCAATTTAACGACCGCCCCCAAGTGTCATCAGGAATTATTTTACGTCGCAGCAGGACGACGATCACAGCCAACGGTTTCCCCAACCGGTGTTTATTTATAGACGCCCGATACTCGTATCTCCCATAGGGCTGGCCGGCCCTTCAGTACCCCTTCTATGAGCGCAGCAAGCAGACAAGGACAAAGCAGCAAAGAATGCGTGCTCTACTCCCAGTGGGTTGGCATGGTGACCGTGACCCAGTGCTCCGTCCAAGGCCCTTCAGAAAGCACCGCCCTCTCCTTCCAGATGCTCCACAAGAACAACGCCGACTCTCAAAGTTGAGCGCACACGACACCTCACATGAGAAGACTCTCAAGAAAGAACTCACAACCTCACGGTAAGAAGTGATGAAGAGGGTAGATAAGGTTAAGAGCAACGTACCTCATTATAGCTGCCCCCAACCACAGATATTCTCACCAGATGACCTGATGGCGATTGCAATGACCAGTCACTGCATCGGCACAACCAGCATTACCTCGCCGTTCCACCTCAACATCAATGAACCACCAGATAGTTCTCATCACACTGTGAACACCCAATATACACACCGTAGCCTTCCTAGCGATCCCCTCTCCTCCTGGGTCACCACACCTTGTCTACGCCCTCCTCACTTCACACCGCCTACGGCCTCACTCACGAAGCAGACCGCATGTATGTACCGCATAKGCAGAAGACAAGCGCCAGATGAGCGCAACGTACCACAACTCCGATACCAAATTGCAAGGAAGATGAGCAATAGTGAACTTCAGCAATCAAACAGCATCATACACATAAGACCAGATTGTCGTGACCTCGAACCAAAAGCAGAATTGCATCACGAGTTTCACCAAATAAG